TCAGGACATCTACAAAATCTTTTATGTTGACTATATATGTAGGAACTTATATTGTGAGTTTTTGGTGAAATTGTTTCAGTTTTAAAGGTCCTATATTACGCAAAATTGACTCTTGCAAGTTTTGAGCCATGTTAGAATGTTGTTATCTTCCCAAAAACAGACCTGGAGTTGTGTTTTGTTTCATTCACACATGTTTGAGTAATCTGTTATTATTAGTCTGTTTACATCTCCAAAGCTCAAAATGCTCTGTTCCACCTTGTGATGTCATGAAGTTAGAAGTAGTTTTCAAGTGAACAGCTCCTTTTATCTTCTGTTCAGTAGAGATTGACAATTCCAGGTCTGAAATTATCCAAATGATTCTGGTGAAGGTGTATGGAGTTTAAAAACACAGTGGAGCACTTCTTGTATTACCACATGACATCACAAGGTGGAACAGGGTGTTTTCAGTTTGAGAGAAATACTCAATTTGTGTGTTACACATGTGTGAATGAAACAAAACACAACTCCAGGTCTGTTTATGACGAGAAACAACATGGATCAGAAAATACTGCAGCTCAATATGGACATTGGACAATTTCAAACAAACAACCACAAACAACAACGCAGACAGCACTAGTGAATAAAGTACATTGTTTTCTAAATATTTTAAGTAATCATTAGGGATGTAACAATAACCAAAATATCGTAATATTGTATTGTCAAAGTTCTCACAATAATATCGTGGACCATCACAATATATCGAATTACAAGTCTCTTTGCTTAAATTAAGAGTTATGGTGCAGCAATAGTTTTAAAAAAAAAGACAGAAGGAACTACATAGATCAGAGGTATCAGACTCAAATTCACAGAGGCCAAAATAAAAAATTGGGATTAAGTTGTGGGACTAAGTATTGAAAAATTTCAACAACATCTGCATGTTTTCTCTTCTTTCGAGATATGTAATGTTAAACCTTTTCTTATTAAAATAAATGTTCAATAATAGTTTTGCTTAAACACTGAATCCAGAACAAGCATAATGTAAAATAATAACAACATTTTAAATAAATAATGTCTCTATAGCCAATCTGTAGATGGCGGGCCAACTCTAATCAGGGTATCCCCAGGTTTAACTACCCCAAATTTAAGACTTTTTAAAAAACCTTTTTAAGACCACTTCAATGAAAATTAACATCACATCACACCCATAAAATGAGCGATGACCAACCAACTACGGTACTTTATCTAGAATCTAAGAGCCACTGTGGCTTAAACCTACACTTCCCCATGATCCATCCAACGTCTTCCACTCTACTGATTGTTTACTCATTGCTGCCGGCGCCAGAAACCAAAGTATTGTTTGTGTATACTCCAAATTAGACGTTCATTCACGTTACATGATTTCATGTTGTTTTTTTTTTCCTCCCTCTGTTTAACACTGCACTGCAGCCCAGTTGAGTAAACAAAAAAAATAGGCTAATAAAATGTAAGACCTTTGTGAAAAAAATAAGACTTAGACAACATAATTTAAGACTTTTTAAGGCCTTAATTTAGGAACATGAAATTTAAGACCTTTTTAAGACTTTCAATACCTCGCAGCTGCCCTTTCTACATCTTTGATATGATGTCGCGGGCCAAATATAATTATATCGAGGGCCAAATTTTGCCCCCGGGCCTGAGTTTGACATGTCTGACATAGACCATGATCCTTTGCTCCATTTCAGTGCAGACTACAAGAAGAAATAACAGTTCTAAGCACTTTTAAGTCTTTGGATTACGTCTTGTCAAGGTATTTTAAGAGGAAAAAGTCGCATATTCACAGTTTTGTTAACCTCCACAAAATATTGCAATAAATATCGTACCGTAAGATGTATATTGCGTAAATATCGTAAGAGATTTGGATATTGTTACATTCCTAATCATGAACTTTCCCACAATATTGCAAAAATAGCGTACTTTGACAATATTGTATCGTGAGACTTGGATATCGTTGCACCCCTAGTAATTGTATATTTATGTAATACTGCAGTTCTTTTTCTCTACGATATAATTTATAAGATAAAGTTCTTCTTACCACCAGCGATTATAAAGGCGAGAAACAGCAGACTCCTCATGACTGTGGCTGTGTCGCGTTCGAGAGATCTAGCCTGTTTTATACTGCTACTACTTCTCCTGATACTATGGGAAAAGTGTCTGCTGTACAACTACAAAACAGCTTATGGCAAATATGACATGTGCTGGCATTCCCATCACATAAACTAAACATAAACTACATATTACACACATGACACAGTTTTAAATGAAGAGTTTCACATGTGAGACTTTATTGGATCTGTATCACCAAAGACAATCCAAAAGCTGAGTCTTCTTAATTGGACGTCATGTGCTGTGGGATTGAGAAAAGACAGTTGTTACCAAACTTAACTTAAACTTTGGAATACATTTTAAAAGAAAAATATTAAATCAGGGGTGTCCAAACTTTCCTCATTAAGGGCCACATATCTAAACGTAGACAAAGCGGAGGGCCGATGAAGGGCCACAGACTGATGGTTAATACAGTGAGTAATTCAAATATGTGCATTTATAAACAGGTTAGAATGAGACACCAGAACCTTATCCAAGCTTAGAGCCTCAAAAGGACACATTCAATATTTGATGTTCAAAAACTTTCACTCAAAATTACTACTTGAGGAAACCTAGAGGTCTGAGGGCCAAGAAAAATTGATCTGAGGGCCACATTTGGCTCCTGGGCCATAGTTTGGACATGTTTGTATTAAGTTCAAGCAGAAGTATGTAATGTTTCTATCCACCTTCCACAGTACGGCATTAAAGGGACTATATTATGTCATTTACAGATTTATGTTATAATGTTGTTTCCTCATCAAAAAAATGACCAGGAGTTGTGTTTTGTTTCGTTCACACATGTTTAACTCGCAAATCCAGCGTATTTTGGTTGAGTTCCACCTTGTGATGCAGCTACTCTGTCTAATACATATTTGATAAGACATTTGTGAAAAAAATAAGACTTGGCCAACATAATTTATGACTTTTTAAGGCCTTAATTTAGGAACATGTAATTTAAGACCTTTTTAAGACTTTTAAGACCTCACGTTTACCCTGTCTAAAACATGTTTGATATGATCTCTCAGGCCAAATATAATTATATCGAAGGCCAAATTTTGCCCCCGGGCCTGAGTTTGACTTGTCTGACATAGACCATGATCCTTTGCGCCATTTCAGTGTAGACTACATGAAGAAATAACAGTTCTAAGCACTTTTAAGTCTTAGTTCTTTGGATTAAGTCTTGTCATTTTAAGAGGAAAAAGTAACATATTCACAGTTTTGTTAGCCTCCACAAAATATCGCAATAAATATCCTATTTTGGTTGAGTTCCACCTTGTAATGTCATATTGTAATACAGGAAGTGCTCCAGTGTGTTCTTAAACTCCATAAACCTTTGCTAGAATCATTTAGATAATTATTACAGTCCTGGTATCACAAATCTCTAATAAAAAATGGTAAAAGGAGCTGTTAACTTGAAAATTATCGCTTTATCACGAGATGGAACTGAGCATTTTGAGCTTCGGAAATGCAGACTGACCAAAAATGCAGGATTACTCAAACACGTGTGAATGAAAAAGCAACTCTGGGATTTTTTTCAGGACGTAACAGCATTATTACACATCTTAAAGCTCAAGAATTCATTTTGTGTAATATAGAACCTTTTATACTAAACACTAAAATAAACCCAAGGGTGGAAAGTAATGAATTACATTTACTCACGTTACTGTAGAGTAGTTTTTATGAGTAATTTGTAATTTTTTTTGGAGTAGTTTTTGAAATAGGTCATGTTAATTTTACTCCAGTACATTTCGATCCAAGTTTTTACTTCATTACATTGGAACCCACCCTCGTTACTGATCAAATCAAATCAAATTGATAAAGAAAAAATTAAATGCGAACGCCCCCTCATGTGCAACATTTTCGTTTTGCATACTTTGATTTTGGTTTAATATTCAATCTTTTTTATTGTAGTTTTGTGACCATATAATTCAGAATTTGTTAAACTGTCAATTTTTTTATTTATTAAATCTAAGTTAAAGTTGAGTTTGCACTGTATAACCTAAAAGTTGATTAAAAACTGGATTAGATTTACGGCTCATCTTTTTTACATCAAATAATTGAAAGTAACTAAGGAACTTTTACTCAAACACTTTAAATTAAGTCCTGTTTTACTTTTACTTGAGTAGATTTTTGGATGGTTACTTTTACTTTTACTTGAGTAGGAAATAAGCAAAGTAAAGATACTTTTACTTAATTAATTTTTTTTTGTAATTTTTCCACCTTTGATAAAACCTTAATGAATAAATGCTATCGCCGTACACCCAGTGCTATATTGTGACTAAACCTCTACTGTATTCTTAAGTGTTGAGTAGTTTTCTTACAGCGCTGATCCAGTCCGAGTAGGCGCTGACCCTGGTGAACACGGTGGGCTTCTTGGCCATGTTGCAGCTGAGGCCAGAGCCGAAGCTGACGATGCCATGAACCTCCCAGATGCCACTGCTGTTCTGGCAGTTCAGGGGGCCACCAGAGTCTCCCTGTGGGTGGGGAAAGACAGTTTGGTTAAATAATATGTACAGTTAATAACAAACACACACATCATCAGTTTCAGGAATCTGTCAGCAAAGACTTAAAGGTGCACTGTGAAACTTTTCGGTAGTGGGTCCGTCACATCTGACCTGTAACGTGGCCAGGTTTGGTCTCCATGAAGATAGAAAGGTTTTATGCCATACTGTGAAAAATTCCAGATATAGCAATGACATCTCCATGGAGAAAAGCAGACGACGGACCCTCCACCATAAAAGTTACACAATGCACCTTTACATGTGTATGAGGTGTGATCCCTTATATGTAAATTACAATTAGTTGCTGAGACTCACGTTGCAGCCGGACACGACTCCATCTCCTCCAGCACACACCATGGTCTCCTTGACCTGGGAGCCCCACCAGTCGGGCAGAGTGCAGGTGGCGTGGTCCACCACAGGGAGGAGGGCCTGCTGCAGGATGTCAGCGATGGGGCCTCCAGCTGAGACACAGACACATGAACAACAGGGTCAGTATGGAGCATGTGTACAACGGTAAAAAAAAAAAAACTTCTTCATATTCTGTATGGCTTTAAAATTCATACAAATGTGCAAAAACAATACAAAAAAGAAAACAACTTACAGTATATAAGATAGGTTAGGTTAACTAGGGTTATCAAAAAAATCTAAAATCTGATACTAAAACTAGTATCAAACTTTGGGGCACTTGATCAATATGAATAAATCAGCTTCAAATTTTGAGACTTTTTGAGAATTTGACAATAAGTTTTTGTTTGGGATACATATACATACATCAAATAAACATTACTTATCCATCTAACATTTCAGACGCCAAATAGAAACCGTCTCAACACTATTCCTGTCGATCTAGTAAAGGCAGTGGCAGGGCACTGACTGTAGATGCGTCCCCAGCCGGTGACGTAGCACGGTGCGTGATTGGGCAGGATGTAGTCCTTCGGGGGGAAACAAGAGGGCTGGATGGTGTCGGAGAAGGGGACGGGGGACTCCAGCTTGATCAGGGCGATGTCATTACTGTGAAAAGACAAGAGACACGTCATATGTACTGTTATTTCAGATGTTTGAAAATGATTTTGTCACTGGTGATAGACTGGATGTAAAGGATAATAATAAAGAGGAGAGGGTCACAGGGAGCAGAAAATTCCCTGTATTTTACTTAAATAACATTATATTTTCGTACCGGATGAAGAAAGAGTTCCAGTCTTCGTGCACAATGATCTTGGAGGTGCCCAGGTAGATAGAGCCATTTTCCTCCTCCAACAGGTTGTTTTTGCCCAAGGCCACTCTGTATTGTCTGTTACTGTAAAATCACAGAGACAGACACACATCGAGTATTATTACAATGGCATGTTCACAGCTTTTATTATTTTACTTTCATTATAATTTACATTCATATTAGTATCTTTTTTGTGGAGATCTCAACGGTGAAATGTTTGTCTGTCCGTAATTGAAAAATATAATAAGAATAATTGGAAAACTATCAAATATAAAATAATACAGATGTAGTTTTTAAGTTAACAGCAACATTTAACCTTTAGCTCAGTAGAGATTTAAAGTTCTAGGGCTAAAATGATCCAAATCATCACAGTGAAGGTGTCTGAAATTATTACTAGAACATAAACAGTCTTGGTTGACATGTGCTGTATAGTTACCCGATGCAGTGGGCGGCAGTCAGCACCCATTGGTCAGAGACGAGGGTGCCTCCGCAGGTGTGACCCCAGCGATCCCCAGCGAGGTACTGCAGAGAGATCTGAAACAATACAATCTCTATTAGTGCAGCTCCCCCTAGTGGTCTAAGAATGGACTGCTGTCATTAAAATCATACTCGTACATGTTGTAATAAAAAAAAAAAACAGAAAGGTTATTCCCATGATAATAACACACACCTTCATTTCTGTAAAAAACTTCTGTATGCTTAAAGGTACAGTATTTAACTTTCCAGATTCTCTATGATTCCATGGAAACAGAAAGTTAAAACCATACATTATGGAGATCGTTTTAAACCATACAGTGGAAGATTAGAGCCAAACAAACAACATTTGGACCAAGGGACCAAATAAGAGTCAGGTTTGTGGCTCGCTCACAGTAAGCACTAATGTTTATCTAAGTTTTCAGTACAACAAACACACAGAAAAACACTAAAAGTTACAGTTACTGGTTCAAACCTGGTTTAGACCTGGTTCAGACCTTTTCAGACCTTGTTTAGACCTGGTTCAGACCTGGTTTAGACTTGGTTCAGGCCTGGTTCACACCTGAATTGGACCTGGTATGGACCTGATTCAGACCTGGTTCAGACCTGTCTTAGTCCTGTCTTAGTCCCTGGTTTGGACCTGGTTCAGACCTGGTTCAAACCTGATTTAGACCCGGTTAAGCTGTGGTGTGTCAGAAAGCCAATATTTCCTTAGGTTATATTTATTTATTTAGGTTATATTTCCAGAACACACACTTCTCCAATACCGATACATCTTGGTGTGTGAGTTTGAAATAAAAAGTGATCTCTATCTCAAGTAACATGAAATAATATTATTGTCTTTTCAGGGGAGACACTTCAGGCCATTGCATAACCTTTCATGTGGAAACACCAAATTGTCCACTCTGCATCATATTTAATTCAATCAACTTGCCATGGAGTAATTTCCATAGGGACACAAGGAGCACCCCTAAAGTCACACCTACACACCAGACCAACAAGATTTTGACGAATCGTACAGAATAATTTTTTAAATCTAATTCCAAATCTGAGTTATTCAAGTTTTAAATCCAAAAAAGCACAATTAAAATGTTTAGGCAAATTTTCAGTCAAATCGTGTTTACTCAAATACTAAATAGAAGATCCAGAAGATATTTTTTAGTATCTAATGTGTCGACAAAAAGAAGAAAGAAATTTAAACCTGGCTCTTTTCATATTTCTGTTATGAATGTCCCAAAAATTGTCAATGCCTATGTGCGTAAACTACAGGAGAAGTTTACATTTTACATCTCTAAATTTAAGACTTTTTTCTTTCACCAGGAGCGTCTCACCTTATTAAAGATGCACTGCGTAACTTTTCAGGTTGGGGGTTTGCTCTACAATTGGTATTAAACTCATATAAGATGTATTTATTTAATTAAGGGTGTATTTATTGCTCAAAAATACCTTTAAAAACATGATGCTGACTGTGAGGGGTGTCACCGCTTCACAGATCTCACCCGTAAATTGGCCTGGTGGCATCTCCTGCTTGTCTCTATGGAGATGGCAGGTAAAGCAATAACATCTCCATGGACACAAGCAAGTACCGGGCCCTCCAACAGTAAAGTTACACAATGCAGCTTTAAAATACTGCTGAGTATAAAAGCATTTGGGTCCATTTAAAAACAAAACCAGGGTGGAATATCTCACATAGAAAACATGATCTTGTTCTGGTTCAAACCCTTAACCCACACCAGTACTCGCATCACATTTCCATTTTGATCTTGTACAGGATTTTAAACCAGATGCCCTCCCCACGTCTCCAAAGTCCTACCTGCCAGGGCCAGCTGTGGGGCCTCACATCCTGTCCTCCGACCACCCTGCTCAGCACAGGAGGGAAGGTGGGCTGGCCACAGCCGTAAGCTAGAAAAATAAAACAGAAAAATCACCATGTATTCACTTTCATACTGTCAAAAATAAACCTTAATGTTAAAACATCTCAAACTCACCACCAACGACGAACAGAGCGAGCACCAGAAGCTTCATTGTGTCAGCTGTCACTTGTACAGGCCTCTACGAAACAACGGCCCCTTCTTTTATACCCACTGACTTGTGCAACCTGAGGCATTCTGGGAAAAAAAAAGGCAGTTAAATGAGTGCGTGTACATTAACATCAGGTCACATTCACAGGGAGGTTGTGGGTTTGATGCCAGTTTGATTTACTTATCAAAAATTTCATGTTTTGTTATTGCAAAACTCTTATTGCATGATTGCGAGACACACTGTTGACACTAGATTTGCAGGTGACTAAAATGTTGCTTATTGAGATATTATTATTTCTTGTTTGTGAGTAATCATAGAAACACATGATCTGTTTCTTGATTTAAAGTTTGAATTCTAAAGCCTTAAGATTTCATAACTTTGAGGGTCATTTGTGCCCATGTTGCCCGCTCCCTCGGGCACATGTGCGCTGTTCACACACAGGTTTATGATTTAGATAACACTCAAGGCTAACTGAACCTGTCAAAACTTTCCATGGCAACACAAATCTATAAAAGTGTGAACAGCGGCAAAAGCTCCACTGAAGAGTCGCCATGAAGTTTGTCATCTTGGCCTTATTTGTCACCAGGGGTGAGATGACATTACGTAACATTTTTATTGCAGTAGTTAATATTTCTACATCATCAGTTTTGTTTAATTGTGGATGCAAAACAACTTTCTACAGCTAAACTCAGACAAGACAGAAGTCATAGTCTTTGACCCACAGAAAGAAAGAGACAGGATCAGCAGTCCCCTCCAGTCTCTCTCTCTAAAACCTTCAAATCAGGTTAGAAATCTAAGGGTAATAATGGACTCAGACTCAAATCATTAACATCTGCAGTCTTTTACCATCAAAAAACATAGGAAAAATCAAAGGTCTACAGTCTAAAGCAGACTTGGAGAGACTTATCCATGTGTTTGTCTCCAGTAGGTTAGACTACTGTAACGGCCTCTCACTGGCCTTTCCAAACGAGCTGTGAGGCGCTGCAAAACAACCTGAACGCTGCAGCTCAGGTCCTGACTTGAACCAGGAAATACAAGCACATAAGACCTGTACTCAGGTCTCTGCTCTGGCTTCTGTGGCTCAGAGAATAGACTTTAAAGCGGCTCAAATCATTTTTGTTTTGATTTGTTTGCATTGTGATTTTAATGTTTCTTATTCTGTAAAGCATTTTGAATTACTTTGTGTATGAATTGTGCTATACAAATAAACTTGTTTTGCCTAATTCTGTCTGTACTGTCCTCACAGCGTACGGCTGCGGCCAGCCCGCCTTCCCTCCTGTTCTGAACAGAGGTCGGAGGAGATGATGCCAGGAAGCACAGCTGGCCCTGGCAGGTATCACTGTGTATATTAAACCTACATATAAGAGGAGCATTCATTTGAGATCTACTCATGTTTATATTTGAGTTATTTTGGTTTGATACTATGACTTCTTATCTCCACTAGGTGTCGCTGCAGTACAATGCCCCCAGTGGAAACTGGTACCACACATGTGGAGGTACTCTGATCTCAGATCAGTGGGTCCTGACGGCTGCTCACTGCATTGGGTTTGTACGGCAGTAATGCTTCTGTATGTAAACCAGAGCTGAGCAGTTAGCACAGGCCACGTCCAGCCTTTGGTCTGTTTTTAATCAGGTTCCATTATAAACTATGTAATAATGATTAAAGAGCAGTCGGGGTCACAGAGCAGCTTTAGTTAGAAAAGCATCCTTCTGTCAGATACTGCATCAGCAATTCTCTTTCACGAGTCTTTTTTGCCTTCTGGATTTCCAGGCAAGTGTCTTATGTTTTTACTTTCAGGCTCTTTCAGCACCTGCACATCCCAACATACTAATAAGATGTAAAAAAAAAAATAAAAAAAAAAAATACAATTATATTTGTAAAAAGTAATAACAATTCAGAACTAGTATTGCTAATATGCTATAAATAGTATTTTATTATTTTTATTCCTTGGACTGATATTATTTTTTATTCCAAATACATGTAAATTGATTTGTTTTAATAAAATCATTTAATAAAGAGAAAGCAGAGCTGCAAAATGCCTCAACATCATATCATATTAATAATTTATAACACATCATTCTTTATTTATTAACATAGCAATAACAACAAAATATACTTTTTAATTTGTAATAAATAATAAATACATGTATAGTGTGTGATGATGACAGTGTGACACAATGTATTTTCACTTTCTTTATTTCACTTTAAAGGACTTTTACAGAGTCCTGATGCTGAATAAAGTGACCAGGATGTACAGGTTTGGGAAAATATGTTTAGCTCTTGTGACTTTATTTCACAGCACATGAGGTGGAATCAAGAACAGATTTATTAATTGCAACATTTATTGTAATGACAAATATTACCAGTCTTCATCTTCTTTGTATTAAGCTCCAAAGTTCTTCTCCAGGTCCCCCCCCAAAGTCTTCCAGGTCTCACTCAGACAAATTTGAAGTAGCAGATGAAAATGCATTTGATTAGTACATGTATTAGTACAACTTCTAAAAATTACACTTCCTCCAGAGAGAAAAAACTACTACTTTATGAACATTGCATATTTACCCTGTAATTCCCAGGTCTAGCCCTCATACAAACTACCAATTATCAAATAAAATAAGAATAAGAATATAATATAATAATTTAAATAAAAAAGTAATTTCTGTACTATTATTGCAAGGTCTAAGGAATAAAAATAAACCAAAACTGACTCTTGTGAGATTTAAGTCACGTTATAATGTTGTTACCTCGTCAAAAACAGACCTGGAGTTGAGTTTCGTTTCTTTCACTTGTGTTTATGTAATCCTTTATTATTAGTCTGTTAATCTCCAAAGCTCAAAATGGTCTGTTCCACCTTGTGATGTCATGAAGCGGTAGTTTTCAAGTCAACAGCTCCTTTTACCTTTTTAACTTTTCTGGTGGAGGGTCCGTCAATTGCTTTTCTCCGTGTAGATGTTATTGCTTTGTCTGGAATATTTCATTCATTAAACCTTTCTATGTTCACGGAGACCAAACCAGACCAAGTTACAGGTCAGATCTGTGAAGAGGCGATCCCGCTCTAGGTGTTTTTGCGCTATGAAACCACCTGTAATTCAATAAATGTAAGGTAGAGCTGTTTAATGTCATACTGTGGAACATTCCAGGCAGAGCAATGACATATCGACAGAAAAAAACAGGCGTCAGACCCAACCACATGACAGAGAACAGGTTTTGTGTTGAGCAGAGAGAAGAAATAGCGCTTGTACCTGGGCAAACACAGCATGAGAAACAAACAGGAGCCACACACTCCATCGCCATCGCCCCGTCCAAGCTCTTCACCCACCCAGACTACGACTCCGGGAAGATCCAGTAACACATGAATAAACTACTGTAGTACTAACCGGCCTAAAGCGTGAAGTACAGCAACAGTAACCCATGTTGGGAAGGTTCCTTTTAAAATGTATTCCCCTACAGATTACAGATTACATACCACCAAAATGTAGTTTGTAACGGAATTCATTAAGTTATTTAAGGTGAGTAACGTAATCTGAATACTTTGGATTACTTGATTTGCTGTAGAGAAGCAAAGACTCAGAAATCGTAACATGAGATGTTTTGTCTGATAAAAGAAAATAAAAAGCCCAAACTTTACTGAACCAGATTAAAAATATTATTGATAGAAGACGAGGAGACACGTCCACACAGCATGATTTAGTCCTGTTAAATCCTGTTTTAGTCCTGTTTTAGTCCTGGTTTAGACCTGTTTTAGACCTGGTTTAGACCTGTTTTAGTCCTGGTTTAGACCTGTTTTAGTCCTGGTTTAGACCTGTTTTAGTCCTGGTTTAGTCCTGTTTTAGTCCTGGTTTAGACCTGTTTTAGACCTGGTTTTAAGTCCTGGTTTAGTCCTGGTTTAAACCTGTTTTAGCCCTGTTTTATTCCTGTTTTAGTCCTGGTTTAGACCTGTTTTAGTCCTGTTTTAGTCCTGGTTTAGACCTGTTATAGACCTGGTTTTAGTCCTGGTTTAGTCCTGTATTAGTCCTGGTTTAGACCTGGTTTAGATCTAGTTTAGTCCTGGTTTAGACCTGGTTAAGATCTAGGTTAGACCTGGTTTAGCTTCCAGCAATGAGTGGAATTACCAAAAAAAAAAAAAAAAAAAAATTGTACCAGGACTGAACTAGGACAAAACCAGGACTAAACTAGGACTAAATCAGAGCTGAACCAGGACTGAACCAGGACTAAACCAGGATTGTACCAGGACTGAACTAGGACAAAACCAGGAATAAACTACGACTAAACCAGAACTGAACCAGGAGTAAACCAGGACTGAACCAGGACTGAACCAGGACAAAACCAGGACAAAACCAGGACTAAACAAGGACTAAACCAGAAGTGAACCAGGAGTAAACCAGGCCTAAACCAGGACTAAACCAGAAATGAACCAGGACTAAATCAGAACTAAACCAGGACCAAATTATATAGTATTAAATAATGAGAAAAGTAGTAGTAAACGTAAAAAAAGTAAATTTCTTTGAAGAATGCAATGCACGTTTACAATGTTCACGTGTAGTTTTACTCACTTGTATGTTATGTTTTGATTTGTCAGTGATTATGACAATGACCCAACGATTATAATGGGTGTTTTTACAAGCTAAACTCAAATCTACAATACTTACGATTAACCTCTTTCTTTCTCTGTGCGCAGCCATCGGTCCCATGGGAGACACCCTGCTGCAGGCTCTCCTCCCCGTGGTCAAACATGAGACCTGCTCCACTCCGGACTGGATGGGGGGTCTGGTCACCACCAACAACATCTGTGCAGGGGGAGACGGAGAGCGCGGGGGATGCAAGGTCAGACAAATGAACAGGATTATTTCCCTAAAAAAACTCAAATATAACTTTACATTTATGGTGAGGCTGGTAAGACTGAACTGAAGGATTACTAACAATCATCTGAAATCTGAATACGCGTGATTATCAAAATGTCAGATCTTATTTTTAATATAACCAGGCGTGTTTTGAAATGCACGGAGGTCTTGCATTTGTTATACGCAATTAAATGTTCTCTTTATTTTTTTGTGAGTGGATGTGAGTTTTAAATAAATGTACTCAACTTAAGTAAATGTAACTGATTTCTATAGAGGTCAAGATTGTGGATTTTTAAGTTGGCCTAATATTAAACTAAAGCTTTGTAAGTACTTACCAGTCACAATTTTGACACACTTTCTCATTCAACGTTTTTTTTTTTCTTTATGTTTAATACCAGGGTATCCCCAGGTTTGACTACTCCAAGTTTAAGACTTTTTAAAGACCTTTTTAAGATGACTTGAATGAAAATTAAGACCAACATTACACCCAAAAGACGTGCAACATCCACTAAATTCAGAGTTTCAGCTGCTTCCTTCTGGTCAGAGGCTTTTAATCGAGAGCGAATCGTTTTAAAAGGAGCTTCATTCCAGCCGCTATCGTACTTATGAATAAATTGTAATCTATTTATCTAAGATTGTGAGTTTTTAACATATTTAATATTTATTGTGATTTTAGCCAAGCGTGATGGATGAATTTAACTAATTGCTTCTGCACTGGAGCACTGTAACACTTTATTTTGTAACTGTGTTTTGTGGATGAATGAAATGTGAAATGTGGAACCTGCCTCTCAAATCTGCAAAGCAAATTTACCCACGGGTGCGAATAAAGCAATCTAACGTTTATCTAACCCAATATGTGGGCGAAAAACACCAGATCCAATTCTAATAATGTCCAACCAACTACAGTACTATATCTAGAATGTAAGAGCCACTGTGGATTAAACCTACACTTCCCCATGATCCATCCAACATCTTCCTCCACTCTACTGAGGAAACCAAAATATTATTTGTGTAGACTCCACATTAGACGTTCATTCACATTACATGATTTCACACTGTTGTTTTTTTTCTCCCTCCGTTTAACATCGCACTGCAGCCCGGCTGAGTTTACAAAAAAATAGGCTAATGCAATTTAAGACTTTTGTGAAAAAAATAAGACTTGGACAACATAATTTAAGACTTTTTAAGGCCTTAATTAAGGAACATGAAATTTAAGACCTTTTTAAGACTTTTAACACCCCGCGGCTGACCTGAATACTTTCTACATATTAGAAACATACTAAATAAATTAAATATATGAAAAAATCTAAAACAGGTTTTGAGTTTATTTTTTATTTACTACATGTGTGTCCATTCATAGTTTTCATGCCTCTATAATGTAAACAGAAATAAAGAAGAAATACATAAAATAAACAAACAAATAAAATAAATAAACACAATAAATAAATAAATAAACAAAACAGAGAAGAAACTTTAGATTTTTGACTAATAGCCTTAAATTTATTGAGGCTAATTAAGGTGTAGTTATTACAAATGCATCTCTCTGGACCTTATAACTGCTACTTTTTGACATTTAATTCCAACCTCTATGTCCCCACCTGTGTTGTTGCGCCCTCTACAGGGAGACTCAGGCGGTCGTCTGAACTGCCAGGGCAGAGATGGGTCCTGGCAGGTCCATGGGGTGGTGAGTTTTGGCTCCAGTTTCGGCTGTAACTACCGCAGGAAGCCCACGGTGTTCAGCCGCGTCAGCGCCTACATGGACTGGCTCAACAAGGTAACGCACACATGATGAAAAGATAAAACATGACTGCAAATTACAACAAAAATACATGCCTGGATATGAGAAGAAAGATATTTTAATAAATGATTTGATGATCATTGAATTTATAAATTTTTATTTAATAATTTAATACATTTATTTTTGAGACAGGGATTTTACACAAATTGAATAAAAAAAGTAAATTCCTTTAAAAACTATACTCATGGTTCCCACTCTTTTTCACTGACAAAATTTCTAAACTTTTCCACGACCTTTTCATGACCTAAAGTAAATTTTCCAAGACTTTATGGCACCCTACATTTGTAGAATTAATCATACTTTCCACTCATCTTATGATATTATAGTTTTATTAAAATTCAAAATACTGTCAGTGCATTTATTGTCGTCTCTTTTAAACAAAGGGCACATACGTTCGGAAATAATCATGAAAGCCTAATGATAACTTAAGAGAACGTTGTAGTTGTGTGAAAGAGATACTAAAATTTCATAACTTTACAAAACTTTCATTGAATTTACAAAATTTCATTACTTTTCCAGGGCTGGAAAATTACATCTTCAATTTCCATGACTTCCAGGATTTCCATGACTGTGGGAACCCTGTATATCATAAACAAAGGGCAGATCTATTATCAAAAACAAAACAAAAAACTACCTGAAGACTCTCTGGGGCAAAGTTTACAAAGACTTATTTTGTCAACAGTAATTTTTTGGTTTAGATTCATAATTTTCACACTTTTTGCTAACTTTAAAGTTTTACTTTTACTCACTTGTGTTCTTGGCCTCTCCTCATGTCTCTCGTTCAGGTGATGACGAGTAACTAAGCAATGGATTGGTTTTCATCTGTTGGCAAATAAAGAGTTTAAATACATCTGGAAATTCTGTCTTTTTTCATTAATCTCTCAATATTTTATACAAGATGCTTAAATTCACATCAGTATGGTCCAACATGAACATTAGCAGAAATAACAACAGTCAGAATAACAAATTAATACCATTTTATTTGCAATACACATGAATACGTCAGCAGCACACAAAGAGGAACCGTGTAGTACGCAGTTTTAAAGAAAGATTTTGATAGTCATATGCACTTCAAGTCAAAATGTCTAATGTCTTTTACTGTTTGCACTGTCTCCAATATCACAATAAAAAAAAGAAAAAAGATGCAGAGTCGTAGATCACTTCAGCCCTCCAAAACTGAAGTTACAGCTATTGTTTTAGCCTCATTAAAGCTGCTTCACTCCTCGGTGCACCAGCAGACAACAGATATTAGGGACTTTTTAGTGACAATCTCAACTCAAATGTGTGAATAAAACAAGACACAACTCCAGGTATATTTTTGAGGAGGCAACTTCATGACTTAAAGCTCTCAAGAGTCAGTTTTGAGCAATATAGGACCCTTTAAGATGATTGAAATATAAAAACAGGTTGAATCTTAGCATTTTGAACATTGTGTTTCTAAATATGCCTAAATATAATAGTTTTACCTTCCAATCACTTTTCCACTGGCGACGACTGGACAAACTGCCACCCTATTCTGCAAATGTATACAGAAAATTATCAAACAAGGCAAAAAAAAACAACAATATAACATTTTTTTGTTTTTGTTGCTTTTAAACTCACCAGTAACGCAGCAAGCCCCACGCGTCACTGCATCACTCCCTCACTCCCTCACTCTTCTCTCTTCTTTTATAGCCTTGGTAACCTTATGTAACCCGAGAGCCGTGAAGCCACTGCTCCTAAGGTGTGAACTGTAACAGCAGGTCAACACCAGGACACAGACCTGATGCCAACTGTATTAATGATTCATCAATAACCAAAAAACACCACCTTTAGTGGAAACTAAATCAGACTATATCAGTGAGATAAGTGATTAACCAAGGTGGTGCAATATGTGTAGTAATACAAAAAATATTACATTTAATATAATAACTAATAGAGCATAGGATTGGTTAGATTTCCAATTTCCCTGAAACATAGTTAACAATTATATTTAAAATTTAAAGGGCACATATTATGCTTTTTTTTTTAAAACTATGTTTTAATGTTGCCTCCCTTGAGAGGTGTTCAGGGCATGTCCCACTGAAAGGAGGCCCAGGAAGACCCAGGACATGCTGGAGGGACTATGTCAATGGGCTGGTCTGGGAACGCTTTCGGGTCCCCCTGAAGGAGCTGGAGGAAGTGTTCGGGGTGAAGGAAGTCTGGGAGCCCTGCTTAGACTGCTGCCCCCACGACCTGGCCCTGGATAAGCGGAAGAAAATGGATGGATCTTATAATGTTTCCTCATCACAAAACATACTTGGAGTTGTGTTTTGTTTCATTCACACATGTGAATGAAACTCCATCAACCGATAAAAGCTCCTACATTACATAAACCGGAGCTTTAAGCCATCCAAAACATACCTGGATTTGTGTTTTGTTTTATTCAGACATGTTACTAGTTTGTCTACATCTCCAAAGCTCAAAATGTTCTGTTCCACCTTATGTAGTTTTCAAGTTATCAGCTCTTTTTATCTTTAGTTCATTAGAGATTGGCAATTCCATGTCTGAAATCATCCAAATGATTTTAGTGAAGGTGTATGGAGTTTAAAAACACAATGGAGCACTTCCTGTATCACCACATGACATCACAAGGTGGAACAGAGTGTTTTCTGTTTGAGAGAAGAACTCAGCCAAAAAATGCAGAGTTTATGTGTAAAAGGTGCACTTTGCAACTTTCTGGTTGGGGGTCCGTCACCTGTTTGTTTCTGTGGATATGTCATTACTCTGCCTGGAATGTTCCACAGTATGACATTAAACAGATCTACCTTACATTTATTCAAACACAGGTGGTTTTATAGCTCAAATATGCCTAGAAAAACAGGCATTTTTTCTGTGAGTGTGGTCGCCTCTCCACAAATTTGACCTGTAACTTTGTCTGATTTGGTCTCCATGAAGATAGAAAGGTTTAATACCAGACAAAGCAATAACATCTCCATGGAGAAAAGCATTTGATGGACCATGCACCAGAAAAGATACACAATGCACCTTTAAACACGTGTGAATGACACAAAACACAACACCAGGTCTGTTTTTGATGAGAAAACAACATTATAACAGATCAGAAAATAGTGTAAAATGTGTGTCACTCTCCTGAGGCAGGTTCACTCCCTTTAGCCCAGTGTCCAGGTGCGCTCTTCACACACAATAATCTGACTCTTATCTCTTCTATTCTACACATTTTCCAGTGCAACACATCCAACACATCTCTATAAAAGTGTTCGCAGCTCCTTCACGTCCACTGAAGAGTCACCATGAAGTTTGTGATCTTGGCTTTGTTTGTCGCTGGGGGTAAGATGCAGTCATGTTGTACTGACTAAATGTTATGGTTATGATTCAATATATAAGAGCTGGAACTGTATTTTTAAAGGTACAATTTAACTTCAAATTTTAAATCACATCCCGAGTTACTTTAAAATACTCTTATAATTACTCTCTCATGACATTTTTTTTTTTTTTTTTTACAATTTTTGTTTATTTTTTTTTATGTATTAATATATCAAATCTGTTATCGTGCTTGACTATTGGAGATTTGAGCTCATATTTCCGTTTGTTTGTGTGGTTTCGGTAGCGTACGGCTGTGGCCTGCCCACCTACCCTCCGATTGTGAGCAGAGTGGTCGGGGGAGTGGATGCCCGCCCCAAAAGCTGGCCCTGGCAGGTACTCTCTTTATATTCTCTATGCAGTAGTTCAGATACTTAGTAGTCTAATTTTATTTATGTATGTATGTATTTATGTATTTATTAGGGCTGGGTATCATTAAGAAGTTGCCAATACGATACATACCTCGACACACAGGCCACGATACGGTACATACCTCGATACATATGCCATGATACGATACATAACTCGATACAGTGCACTTTTGATTCGATACGATATATTTCAAATCAATACGATATGGTTCATTAAAAAATAACGGCTAAATCATGGCTGTAATACTAGGAGTCTTTGTTAAACCACTTCTTGTGCAAAGTTAATATGAAACACAAACATTTTAATCATCAAAACAGTGAATGTGTCAAATGTGTCGCATAAACGAGTTTCGTTCCTCTGAACAAACAACAAAACTGTAGCGCTGTAACTAAATAATTTAGTACAATATACCAAAAAAATACTCTTGGCGATATATTGATACAGCAGCCCACGATAGAGATACTGTATCATCACATTAAACGGTATGATATATTGATATTTTTGCACACCCCTAGTATTTATGTATTTATTTATTTGAAAGGGACATTGCAAAATAAATGTATTGCACAGATCAGATTTAGCTACAAGTTAATTTTTTTGATCTGTAGACCATGAGCAGAGGAAAAGTGATAGCAGGTATCAGTGCGCAGGTATAAAATGGCCCAGGTAACATTTAAAATACAGCTAAAAACCAAACAACAACCCCTCACCAGCAGAGGGAGCCACTCATCAACACTACAAATACAAATTCACAGATATTTACAAATATACATTGTTCCTACAGCCAGTTCATCACTAATGGTACAGCCCGGATTCTCTTTAAGCCACTTCTTAACACTGAATTTTTTTAATTTTCCAGAGTGCTCTAACTTCACCTAAAAAAAAACAAAAGGCATCTGTCAGTAAGGACCTGGATAAGACTGCATTGACTGTAAATCCATGACAAATATCTATTATCAACAGCCATTATCAGCAAAAACTGTAAATTATGAGTATCAATATTTAAATACTTAATAAAACTAACAGTCAAATAAGCTTCATCCTTATACTGTGGTACAAATTAAAGAGTGAGTATTTCACTTCTGTGGAGAATTAACTGCTAATACAACATAAAAAAGGTTTTAAAAGGAGCGCTTCTTGGACCTCCAGAGGATAATACACTGTAAATAGAACTCAGTGGTGCTTTTTGAGGAAGGGAAGTCAATTTTAAGATACAAAAAACCCAAAGCACTCACTGGTTAAAATAAAATGCCTTTATTCATTTACACAGGACAATTTACAAAGGACAACTTGGAGGAAAATTTGTCCATTAAAACATGCTGTGAATTAATAAAGGCATTTTATTTTAACCAGTGAGTGCTTTTTTTGCATCTTTAAATTGACTTCCCTTCATATTTAGTTCACTGGTTTGAAAATGCTTTTTTTGCCTAAAACAATCTACTAATATTATAAGTTACCATACTCTGTTGTTTTTGACACTCAGAGTCAAAAGTCACTCCCCTTTTACAGCACATTACATTACAATTGACCTCTAATGAACCTACTGCACATCACGCCAGGTTTGTAAAGCTGTAGGGTATTGTTTTGTATCCTGCTTTTGTATATTTATGGAGAAATATTGCGTAGGAGCATGAGAGACGTAGGCTTGTGGACTGAAAATTGGACAAAATCTCACAGCTAACCGCAAGTAGGGTTTGTGTAGGGCCCGGGAGAGATCCCTAAATTACTGAAACATGCATGGATGACATCTAAAACCACTTCAGGCATGTTTTTGATGAGGGAACAATGTTATAGCATGCTCTAAAAAAGCTCCAAAAAGTAAATTTAGTATAATATAAGTTTTTTTTTTTTTGATAAACCATTCTGTTTGTCTCCACCAGGTGTCTCTGCAGTACCAGAGCGGCGGCAGCTTCTACCACACCTGTGGAGGAACCCTGATCTCCAGAGACTGGGTCCTGACTGCTGCTCACTGCATTGGGTTTGTATGACTTTAATATTACAGTGATAAAGTGTATGGACATGTGCTCTAATAAGGTGAGAGTGGCACAGTGAATCAGGTATTTGCCCCAAACACAATGGGTGCTGGTTCAATCCTCCAGTATTTAATGTTATTGTGTCACTCAGCAAAACACTTACAACTAGGGATGTAACAATAACTGAAATATTGTGATACTGTATCATCAAAAGTCTCACAATTATATCGCGGGCAGTCACAATATATCGAATTACAAGTTCCTTTGCTTTAAATGCATGGTTTATAGTAGCAACAGCTTACGAACAACGGAAACTACATATCCCATGATTCATTTCAGTGCAGACAACATGAAGAGACATGTTTTTTAGTTGAATTCTTGGCATTATGATGGAAATAATTCACACCAAGGTATTTTAAAAGCAAAAAATGGTCCTATCTAGAATTATATTAACCTCAAATCAATATCGCAATAAATATCGTCATAATATCGTACCAAGAGATTTGGATACAACACATTTTTAGTGAACATAACATAGGTCTACAACATCAGCAGGGGTAAAATGTTTTTTTGAGTAGCCCGGTAGTCTTATGAGTTTTATTTGACTGGAGCTGAACATTATGGGTGACGTCATTCTCATTAAATCCAGTTAGAGTCTATGGCAGGGGTGGGCAATTCTTTTTTTCCATGAGGCCACGTAAGAAACTGAAAATATTATGGAGGGCTGGACCAAAATGCTCAACTCAATTCTACATAATCTTTATAAAAAAGCAGTAAATATCATTGTTTTGACGAGCTGGTAAGAGTTTATGTTATGATTAAGCAATGAAAAAGTGAGGTGGCCTTACAAAAAATGTCATTAAAAAAACACATCTACAAAAAAAGCAATGCAGCTTTAGTCCAAACATGAGGTAAAATTATAAATATATATCTATTTTGTAATTCCAAATGAGCTTAAATCAACCAAAGGGCCATATGTGACCAGAGAGCTGTACAATGCCCAGGTCTGGTCTATGGAACACTAATATAAATAGTACTATATGATGATACTACACTACATAATACTATATGAGAGCAGAGGCCATTTCCCTTGTTGATGATGTGTTGTTTGGAGCAGAAGCCGCACCTACAGAGTGTATCTGGGCAAATACAACCTGGAGCAAAATGAGGCCGGCTCCATCGCCATCAGCCCCGGGAAGATCATCGTGCACGAGAACTGGGACTCTGCCAGGATCCGGTAACATGCACGTTTATAATGTACTGAAGCAAACCTAAAGCTAAGACTGTTTAAGCTTCACCACACAGAGAGAAACATGATATTACATTTTACATTTGTTATTATAGATAATGATGGACTGCTAATTTTAAAGGTGTATCGAGTAATTTTTCTGGTAGAAGGTCTGTCAAATGCTTTTCAACAGAATATAACATAAAAAAAAATACAACAATCAACCTTTAACAATTACAATAATCAGCACAAAACAAAAAACAAAAACATAAAGCAACACCCACAACAAATACAAAACAACAACAAAAAAGCCCCCATTTCCCCCCCGACCACACACACCGACACAAATTTGGCTAAATTAAACAAAAATAATATTCTAATTCATAATTCAAATTCCTTTTCTCTTTCTTTCTTCCTTTTTTGCTTTTCTACAGTTTGTTTGGAATGTTTCACAGTATGATATTAAATGTTTCTATCTTCATGGAGACCAAACCAGGCCAAGTTACAGGTCAGATCTGTGGAGATGCACAGTCAGAATGCCTGTTTTTCTATGTATTTAAAGCCATAAAACCACCTGTAATTGAATAAATGTAAGGTGGAAGAGTATAATGTCATACTGTGGAACATTCCAAGCAGAGCAACAACAGTTCCAAAAAAAAATTAAATTAAATTAAAAAAAACAAGCATGTGATGGACTCTTCACTAGAAAGCGCCTTTAAATATCTTTTCTTTGTTGCTATGTTTGTTTCTGTCTTATAAAATTACAATCCATCAGATGAATAACACATTTTCAGACTGTAATTAATCACTTCCAAAATTCAATTTGAACTTCTGACTTGACTGACAGTTGGGAATAAATTTGTAATAAACAAATCCTGTATTTTGTACCAAGCAACGACATCGCCCTGATCAAGCTGGCCACTCCTGTGAACTACTCTGACTCCATCATGCCCGCCTGTCTGCCCCCTAGAGGAGACGTGATGCCCAACAACTACCCCTGCTACGTCACCGGCTGGGGTCGCCTCTGGAGTGAGTTCATATCATCTTCATCAATTTCAACTCCTTACACAGGGTATATTAAAGGTGCACTGTGTAACTTTCCTGATAGAGGGTCCTCTGCTTGTCACGAGAGAGATTATATAACTTATACTTACACTTAGACATTTCTCCCATCCACAAATCACTTGAAATAGTCAAAACCATACTGCTGCTCTGGGATTGGTCTGAACCACTGGTTAACTGGGCAATCACAACACCAGATGGATTCTAGTGAGTTTGCGAACTCTTGGTGGCTGTTCATGGCATTAAATGGATCTATCAAAGTAGGTAGCCACTATGGGCATGCAAAAATATGGAATCGTGGGTTGCTGTAAGAGTATTTTTTGGTATATTTTACTCAATTATTTTGTTACAGTGCTTGTTTTTTGTTGCTTGTTCAGAGAAAGGAAACTTGTTTACGCGATACATTTGACATTTTCACTGTTTTGATGATTAAAATGTTCGTGTTTCATAAGAACTTTGCACAAGAAGTGGTTTAACAAAGACTTTTAGTATCACAGCCATGATTTAGTCTTTATTTTTTTATTGAACCATATTGAATCGATTTGAAATATATCGTATCGTGGACTATGTATCGAGATATGTATTGTGGGTCAGGTCTGTTGAAAAGTGACCCTGCTCACATATACACTTTGTATCTAAGTAGGAAAGTTTATTTTTGACATCTAATTTTAATTTCTACTTCAGTGTGGATATGTGCAGTCATTACACAGACCTGATGCATAAACCAGGTCAAAACATCTTCATTTGCAAATTTTATCCTCTAGAAACTTTCACTCATTCATCCCAAATGAGCCTAGTCTCAGCATGTTCTATATAACATCCCTATTGTTAAAATGTGCACTGATCCCATTGAACTCTTGCCTTGTCTCAGCTGGAGGTCCCATCGCTGACACCCTGCAGCAGGCCCTCCTCCCTGTGGTGGACCACGCCACCTGCTCCAGGTCCGACTGGTGGGGCACTCTGGTCACCACCAACATGATCTGTGCTGGAGGAGACGGAGAGGTGTCCAGCTGTAACGTGAGTCACAACACAGCGACTGTTTTAGAAGAACAACATTTAGGATGGGTTCACACCATAGACTGGATATAGAAGTGGACATTGCTAACGTGCCAGTTGCTGCGTTCCAATTGGAAAGTGAGCTTGGAAGTGATTTCGGCTCCATCGACTCTAGCTCCAATTGGCTTGCATTGGAATATTGTCACCCCTCTCTCTGTCACTTCTTCAGTGAACCTCATCATTTTGGTCTTAACCTGTTCTATTAACCTGCTCTACATGATCCCGGTGTTTTAATTTCACTATTTTGATTGGCTATTCCTTTTCCTAATGTGGAGCTTGGTTCCAAATTCATAACCACTAGCATCGTGAACTTTATTTGACTGGAGCCAAACACTATGGGTGACGTTACACTCCCTTAATCCACCTCTTTCTACAGTCTATGGTCACAACACATCTACTCTTTTACATAGAACAACACTTAGGATGGTTCATACTTGTCCTAGTTTGGGCCAAGTTTAGTCCTGATGTAGACTTGGTTTGTTCTAGTCCTGGATTAGTGAGGGTCTAGTCCAGGTCTAGCCTAGAATTCAATTCAATTCAGCTCAATTTAGCTCCAAGTTTGATTTTGATGTGGTGTGTGGTGTGTGCAAGTGCAAAAGTACTTGAGACTTCCAACATAAAATAAAACAAACCCTGAATATTTAAATGTTACATGTTTTAATGATACGTTCTTTATTTCTTATGAACATTCTTTATATAATGAATTGATTTAACAGTCAAAGTCAGGTATTGCAAACTGGGTATAGTTTATGTACAAATATTGAAAAAAACTGAACAGTCTCCAGCTGTAGTGATGTAGTAACTCACCTCTGGTTGTACTGCCCCCTACAGGGAGACTCCGGTGGCCCTCTGAACTGCAAGGGCTCTGATGGTGCCTGGGATGTCCAGGGTATCGTCAGCTTCGGCTCCAGTCTGGGCTGCAACTACCCCAAGAAGCCCTCTGTGTTCACCCGAGTCAGCACCTACATTGACTGGATCAACAAGGTGAGTCACTTTAACTGTACTTTTTCTCTCAAATTTATGTTTATTTAGTTACTGTTTTTCAAAAGACATTCAGTATATCTAAAAACAGCAATATTTAAATATGTAAGATTTAACTTTTAAATTTCATAAAACTGACCTAACTGTAGCCCCAGATATGAGGTAAAAAAAAACATGTTCAAATCAAATCTAGATTTTACTGATAACAATTGTAAACCTGATTTATCTTTAATTACAATAACATTGGACATGATGGTTATTTTATGTTATAATTTGGTGTTTTGGTTGAATTATTCTCCAGTCAGAAAGCAGAATAAGCCTGACATGACTCTCTCATTTGGGTTGCCAGTTTCAATGCTGAAATCCAATTGGTTTAAACCTAAAATGCCTCTCTCTGATCTGAATAGTCACTACCTAAACCCCAGCACCTGCAGCCAGTCATAAATCAGTGCTAGTGCAGCCTCTGTAGCTCAGTGAGGGAATTCTGGAGGTTATGAGCTTTCACATGAGGCCTACCCATATAATGAGAATGAGAAAAACTTGTATGTGTGCTCATTCTGCAGGTTTAGGTGCTGGCAACACTGGTTTAGTCATAATTGTAGCTTAAAAACAGCACAGGCTACATACAGTTCCCTTAAACTCTGTTGCATTCAGTAAGCAAAAAATCATGACCTATGTATTGCATTCTATACTGCTGTAACAAAACAAACCCAGATGCTTCTAATCTAGTATCATGGTAAAAATATCTAGACTAGGCCTGTCACAATAACACATTTTGAAGTACGATATATTACTGACGAAAATATAGACGATAAACAATAATACTGAAACAAATTTAAGCCACTGACGCAATAAACCTAAACTTAGCCCCAAAAACGATTCTAGATGTGTGGTAAGGTTAAAAAACACCAAAATAAATGAATGGCAGAATGAAACACTTTGGTAGTTAGTCAAAGAAGTTATTTATTCAACTACTGACAGCTCAAATCTAATCGTAGAACAATAAAAATACCAAAAAGTTCCTAATTAATACTAAGAAAAAATGCTCATTATAAATACTGACCCACAAAAATTATTTTTCCACCTTTTATATATTGAACAATAAGTCGATATAATAATTATCATGACAGGCCTAATCCAAGGGCCTGTACCTGATTTTTCTACAGTTTGAGCAGAATTTGTCTTGCCCCAGTAGATATATCCTATAAGCAGCTGTGTAAAGACATTCAAAATGATGTGTTTATATGATGTCTGTTGTGATTAAACGAATACAAATTATGAATGCCAGATCTTAAAAGCTGTTTCTTTTACAGGTCATGACTAGCAACTAAGAAGTGGGTCGGTTTTCATAGCCATATTTGTTGTAGCTCAAAATAAACACAATGACCAAACTGTGACTCCTGTCTATTTCATGTTTATTTATCATTTATCTATGTATTTAGGAAGTATTTAGTGACTATAATTATAATGTAGGCTATATTTAATGACATTTCCCACATCTCCAAATAACAACTAATTAATTAATTCCTTATACAGAGGATAATTCTAGTGTATTTGTGGATGTTTTAGTCTTGGTTGGAAATAATTACTTTGATTTGACCCACTTTGTCCTGTAGGGGGAGACAAACAGCAGGGAATATACTGTACTGAATATGGAAATGAAATCCTACTTCCAACAGGTTTTCCTCCAAAGTTTTCCATTGTACCTTTGTAATGTTTCATCAACATCAACATACACCTGAAAATATAAAACAGTCACATATTCAACTATTCATATTCATAATTTAAGTATAGATTTTATTCTAATAGACCGAGGTGTACTACTCACATGTACTCAATTACATTTATTTCAGTAATTTTTAAAAATAAATTGTACTTTTCTCAGCATACTTTAGTCCTACTTGAGTAATATTTTTAAGAAACTCTTACTTGAGTAAAAGTTTTGATTACACTTCCCATAAGTGAGTAAGTCTATAAGTGAGAAAAATTTACAGTATGAAATGATTTGAACATTTGTGTTTCATCCACCACTCCTTCAATTATGAGTTACTATGTCTCATTTTAGAATTTATCAATAAATACCAGATTCTTCCAACTATATTCACTCCAAATTACACATGAGACATAAAAGCCAGACAGTTACTCTTTAACCTACTTTCACCTGAATTGTAATTTCCCCAAATACTTATCTGAGTAATTTCTTTGACCTCTACTTTGTAATTCCACTTGAGTAATATTATTTAGAAGTAACGTTACTCTTACTTAAGTAAAATTTTTGGCAACTCTACCCAGCATTGTTATAGATATATATAGATACATGTTGTAAGCTGGAGAAGTAGCAAATAGAAAGAAAAAAAAAGAAAAGAAAAAAGACACGTGTATAAAAGCTAATGCTAGCAGCAAGGACAAGATTTGTATTTTAAACAGTTGGTATGCGTTTTCTCTATCAACTAGTCTAATACTCACATTTTGTAAATTACACGTAGCATATTCATGTTCTTTACACTTCATGTCCACGCACTGCTTAGCTGAATATTTTTATACATGAGAGAAAAATGTGCAGACAGTGAATAAAACTTGTGCATGGTGCAAGCCCGTGAAATCATGCTGAGTTCTGATTGGCTGGTCTGATAACATCAAAACAAATAAAATAAATATATAGAAAAATGCAAAGTAAAACAGAAAGTACATAGCTATAATAAATATATATATATATATATATATATATATATATATATATATATATATATATATATATATATATATATATAATAAATTACTTTAAAATAAGAAAATAAGAAAAGTTTTTTAAAAATCTAAAAAAAAAAAAAAAAAAAACGAGCTCTGATTGGCTCGCTGTGAGAAGCCATGCTGCGTTCTGATTGGCTACTTTGATAACATCAAAACAAATAAAATAAATATATAGTAGAATACAACATAGAATACAAAAAATATGACAAGTATAATATATATATATATATATATATATATATATATATATATATATATATATATATATATATATATATAATATATATATATATAGCTTAAAAATAAGATAATAAAAGAAGTAAAAAATATCTAAAAATAAAAAAACGCGCTCTGATTAGCTCACTGTGAAGGATGATCTCGCGTTCTGATTGGCTCGCTGTGAAAGGCCATGCCGCGCTCCGATTGGCTGACGCTGGGGGCCAAACACAGTTCGGTCTATGCGCCACACATCCATGCTCGCACGCTGTAGGTCCGTGTCAAAAGAAAAAGGATCGTGGACTGGGGCATTTCTCCTGTCAGCGCACCTCCACCCTTCCGTGAGGCATGAACGGGACTTTATTCAACCAAATAAGCCAGTTAAATTCACCATCAGCGCTTACCAGAGCCTAAAAACACCATCGGAACACCTCGATCTCGTTGCGGAAGCCAACGCCGTTTGTTTTTTTTAATCGGTCAAGTCGTTAGCTTAGCCTGTTAGCTCGTATTTTGTGCAGGACGTGCTCAATTCGCGTCAATATTTCAACAGATCGCACAAGACTTGACGCACTTTCAAACTTTACAAAGCAAGATCTGCAACAACGAGCCCACGACCTTGGATTTGCACGCGTAGTTTTACGTCTGTTTTTGCAAAAACAAGGAAGTGCACGGTCCTTAGTGCTGTGGTGCTAACTAGCGTGCAGCACAAGAAGCTCTTTGGCTGCATTTATTCATTGTGTGTGAGTTATTAGTGGGGGTTTCCGTGCATTATAAAGGAGAGCTTTGCTGAGACTGCATTTTGCATCTTTAAAAAGGACACATCGGATTGATCGTTTGGAATAAATTGTCAAAATGATTCCCGAAACGGCACCAAAAGAAGACGTTTATCTCGCCTCTGCAGAGTTTTGCAAGACTTCGCATGTCCCCAGTTTTGACAAATACAAAGAACTTTATGTGAAGTCCGTAGAAAACCCCGACGGTAAGTTTACTGGATATTATTGAGGAAAGAGGATTATAATGTTGCACCCACCGCTTAGTAGTACTCATTCATTCAGTCATTTGCGGCTTTGAATGTGTAAAGACAAGTCGGATTATGAGATTCTAGTATTTAATTTATTTCATATTCAGCGTTGTCATTGTACGTGGTTAAAATGACTCATAAAAAATCAGACTGTTTAGTTTACGTGATAGATGCCACAGTTTATGGCAGATACGTGTCTCTATTACTGGAATTGCAATCGATTAGACAACCTTTGAAAGTCCCTTGTGGTCTATGAGTAATACACATTACTTAAATAAAATAAAAAACAAACTGACAATTTATTCCAGTATTAACATGTTGTAATTTGTGTACAGGTAATGCACCATTGATGTCACAACATCAGTTTTAATTTTGATTAATTGCTGTGCAAATAAACAATGACACATTTTTATATTGCCATTATATAATTAATTATACATTATACTGTATTTATGACATTACACAGCTTTATGACAGTAAATTATCCAAATGATAAAATTAATTGAATGTGACATAAATACATTTGTCTCTGGCTACATTTAGGTGTATTGTTGTGAAGTTACTTAATTTTGCGTCTAAAATGTTTTTATACAGTAGTTCCTGAATTAATATATTGTGACCTAAACAATTTAGGGTTGTCAAAAGTATTGAAAATCACATACTTAATAATTATAATTAATAATAAGACAAAACTACCACAGATATTCATTTGAGCAAGTACCGATACTAAAAAGTTCATATTTATAGGACAGAAATCTTTCCTGAATAGTTTTTCCTGAAAGTACCATGATTTACTGTTGAAAATCACATTCTATTGTCTAATTAAAGATGTGTTTTTTATTATCAATGTGGTATTGGAATTGGTACTGAGTATACTGTCTGTTCCTATTAGTATTGAAATTGAGTTTGAAATTTGTATCATATAGTTTTGACATCACCGGTTGTTCATTCTTTTATGCATTTTAATATATTGCATGGGATTTCAGCTTAGATGGTTTTAATAAATTACACATTGTTGTATTCCTGTAATTAAAACAGCACCTTTCACTGTCAGAGTCTTAGAAATACTGAGAATTGTCTTTTAAATATTCAACATTGCAACAAGGTACAAAGTGTTCCAAATATAACAACAATTGGAGTACAAAATACAGTAGAACCTGGCCAGGCCAGTTCTTCCTGAATGCGTTGGTCAGAGCTGCTGGACTCTGAACTGTGATTTAATGTTTATTGCTTCCAGTATTCATACAGTTATCATGAGTCATTTGGGAAAGAGAATTAGAGACGTAAAGTAAACAACAGATGACAAATGCTCTGGAGATGTTGAGAAATCCTGAAGTGTACAAAATGTCTCAGAGGTGCAGCTTATATAGACCAATTATTATAAGGATTTGCACAGCATAACAGCAGAAAGAAGAATGCATGGAGTGCGTTAGCTGAAGTTTCAAGTGTTACTGGACTGTTTAATCTGCTTTTTCACTTTTTGTTTACTAGTACTTGTATACTCCTGTATTGGTGTGGTCATGAGAAGTGTTTTTACAATACGAATTTTGAACTAAATTTTTATACTAATAGGAATAGAATCGATACTCATATGATACTCAATACTGATTCTAATGCCACAATGATGATAAAAAATACTTTTTCAAAATGACATAGTAATAGTTCTTTTATATTACTATGTGGCCTTACAGTCTGTGTAATCCCTCAGTACAGTTATGTTCCATAGTGGTCCATGGGTGTAGAAAGATGGATACTTTATTATCCTGAAGGAAATTTGTTTTTCAGGCAGTGTACAATACATAATACACTACATAATATAATACATAACATCAATTTATATAAATTTATCAAATTATTGTGAAGCGTTTAATAGCTGTATGGTACAAACAACTTACAGAGTCTATACTAGTCTAGGTGTGCTTATATTTGTTCTGATACAGCTCAAGATCATTGTAAAGTTATTCAGGAAAAGTACATTTCTGTCCTGTGAATGTGACTTTTGTTAGTATCAATACTTGCACAGATGAGTATCTAGTTTTGATACTAGTTTTAGCATTAATTCTCATCTGATTTTTCAATACTTTTGAGTTTGACAACTAGGGCTGTAACAATGACCGAAATATTGTGATATCATATTGTTAATAGTCTCACAATAATATCATGGACTGTCACAGTGTATCGAATTACAATATTCTTTGCTTAAATTTTATAGTGGTAACAACTTATAAACATAGGGAACTACATATCCCATGATTCATTCATTGAGTGTAGACAACATGAAGAATTTTTTTTTAACTTAAATTCTTGGGATTATGATGGAGATAATTCACACCACAATCTTGTCAAGGTGTTTTAAAAGCAATAAAGTGTCCCATGTACAATTATATCAGCCCCTCCAAAATATCACAATAAATATCGTACCGTGAGATGCATATCGTGATGATATCATACCGAGAGATTTGGATATCGTTACATCCCTACTGACAACCATATTCTGTAAAAGTTATGGGATATAAAACTGTATAAAACTGGCTTAATGTATCAGGTACAATGTGTATAAGACAAATTATTTACTATTATAGGAAGGATTTGTGATCTATCTGTTAATAAGCCCTGTCACAATAATCACTATATCGACTTATCGTTCAATATCTTAAAGCTACAACAATATATTTTTGGGCTCAGTATTTATCATTTATTTTCTATAAAATTGGGGAGAATTGGGGTGTTTCGTTGTAATACAATACAACAAACATTTGAGCTGTTGATGGTTGAATAACTAACTTCTATCACTAATTATTGCTTCATTCTGCTATTTATTTGTGGCAGCTCGGGCCTTTTCAATGACACTGCATATTTAGAAATGGTTTACTGGGATTATCTTGCATTATTGATATTGTATCAGTGGCATGAAGAAGTTTTAATTTTATTATTTATCGCAGTATCTCTAACAAAATATCACGCTTCAAGATTATGACAGGCCTAATTTCTATATCCTCTTGTACAGAGTTCTGGGGTGACATTGCCAAAGACTTTTTCTGGAAGACCAAACACAACGGAGAATTTCTGAGCTACAACTTTGATGTGACGAAGGGAGAGATCTTCATCAAGTTCATGGAAGGAGCCACCACCAACATCTGCTACAACCTCCTGGATCGAAACGTCCACGAGAAGAACCTGGGCAACAAAGTGGCCTTTTACTGGTGAGCGAGAACGTCTGTGTTTTAGTTTTAAATAGTTTTGGTTTGGAGCACAACACTGATATTTAAAAAGGATCTTGTTTGGGTGAGAAGAAGTGGGTAGCTGATTGCATTAGAGATGGGAATAAACACTAATATTGCAAGTGATTATAGTAATAATAATACATTGGTTTTATATTTCGCTTTTCAGTTGCTTCACAATAATGTAACACCAAAACTAGGACAGGATAGACAGCAATAGTGATAATATAAGTGATGGTGATAAAAAAATAATATATATACATGTATAATTGTCAGTACAGTTGTCCCTCGCTATATCGTAGTTCACTTTTCGCGGTCTCGCTGATTTATTTATTTTTTTGGTGCAATTTTGCATTCTTTTTTTTAACAGCGTATGATTGCATGTTGTGTATTATGGGTGCGTAGTAATTACACACGGTGGGTCAGGACTAAACCAGGTCCAAACCAGGACTAATCTTGGACTTAAGAGAGAGAGAACCCCGAGCAGGGTGTTGCAAAGCACGATCGGGCAATTGCCGCTCTTACCTTCGCGAGGTGGGGAACTCTTCATCTGTCCTTTCTCCTGCGGTCACCTCTAAGCCTGTCAGAACAGATATAATAATTGTACGATATAAAGTTGACTAGTTCACGGATTTCATCTATCGTGGGTTATTTTTAGAATGTAACCCCCCACTGTACTTGTTATTAGGGCTGGGCAATATGGAAAAAAAAAAAGAATCATGATTTCTTTTGCCCATATTGATGAATCTCGATGTTCATTTCGATCTTCTTCCATCTTGTTAAAAACAGAGACATGTAGACTTCAGGCGTAAAGATCAGGGTGTTAGGATCACACACTTTTTATTTTGTGTCAATATGACCAATAATTCTAGAGAAATTCACTTTTAAAGTTTGGAATGAGTTTGTACAATATATTAATCCTAAATGCATCCATACTACCGCTATCAAGAGAAAGATGTGCGATGTCCGTGTGATAAATGAGGTCTTACTTTTCACTCATAAACAGTGAGAAAACAGTTGTTTACGTTTCATAACTTGGATTACAAAGATGAGAAGCACCAGAGGAGAGAAAGAAGAAAAGATGAGGAGCTGCAGCTGGATCAGAGAGGGAGGGGGAGCAGCAGAGGAGCAGGGAAGACAGCTCCACACTCACCCAGAAGCAGAGGGAGAAGACACTTTAGTCAAATTGTGCAGATTTAAGTTAAAACTTGTGAACATGTGAAGAGACATAAAGACACGCTGTGGCTCAGGCTCAAGACCATAAATCCTCGTCAGCACCACGCGCTCTTACTGCCATGATGTGCTTTTACCTGTCGATTAAAGTACACATGCCATATCATCGACCAAAGTATAGATCGCAGTCTATCAATCCTTCGAGTTTTGGCACCGCCCTACTTTTTATATCCAAATCAAATGCTGAGATATTATCAATTGTGTATCATCCACCTCTGCCTTTGAACAGGCTCCAACGTGGTAATACCAAAGGTTAAATTTGACTCCCACTGGTGCACTGTGTACTCAGAAGCTCAGTCCCAGCTCAGACTTGACATCAAATACAGAAACCACCAGCATTGTAGAGCGCCCTTGTAATGTAACTTAACTTTTATTTCTTATTGGTATGTTTTAGAAGTCCATGTCAATTAAAGTTTGTTCCGGAATTCATTAGAAAATTGCTTACCTCCCATTTACTTTGGCTTCATTAAGGTCACAAAAACACTATAAATTGTGGTGCTGTTATTGAATATTTGGACACTGACATTATTTATAGTGTTATTCATTGACCCAGTCCATTTGCTTCAATTGCTCCCTCAGTAAATCTCCCAGTGGTGTGTGGTCGGCATTGAGTCAGCACTGGAGGACGGCCAAATGACAATTCTGATTTTGGATTTGGTCATTCATTTTTTTCATTCATTTCAATCTTTATTAGTATTTGAAATGCTGAAATTTTATTCTCTAATGTTTATAATTTAAAGGTGCACTGTGTAACGTTTCTGTTGGAGGGTCAGTCACCTGCTTGTCTCCGGAGATGTTACACAGTAGCTTTGGCAGGAATGTTCCATGGTATGACTTTAAATATATTCATCTAGCATTAATTGATAACGGGTGTTTCTGTGGCTCCAAAATACATGTGAATAGGGGTGACTCTCCGCAGATCTGAACTGTAAAGTAGTGTAGTGCTGTAACCTGCTTGTCACCTGCATGATAGACAGGTTTAATCTATACTGTGGAACATTCTAGACAAAGCTATAACATTTCCATGGAGACTAGAAAAGTTACACAGCTCACCTTTACATGTGCACTGTGTAACTTTTCTGGTGGAGGGTCAGCCACCTGCTTGTCTCCATGGAGATGTTGTAGCTTTACCAGGAATACTCCGCAGTAGAGCTCGGTATCATGAATATCATTAAGAAGTTTCCATTATGATACATATCTCGATACAGTGAGCTTTCGATTCGACACGATATATTTCAAATCGATTCAATACAGTTTATTAAAAAATAAAGGCTAAATCATGACTTTGATACTAAAAGTCTTTGTTAAACCTCTTCTTGTGCAAAATTAATATCAAACACACCCATTTTAATCATCAAAATTGTGAAAATGACAAATGTGTTGCATAAACGAGTTTCCTTCCTCTAAAACAACAAAACTGTACCGCTGCAACAAAATGATGTAGTAAAATACACCAAAAATACTCTTGGCGATATATTGATACGGTATCATCACATTAAACAACATAATAAATTGATATTTCGATAGTTTTGCACTCCCATACTTCCACAGTATGGATTTAAACTAATTTGTCTAGTATTTCATTTGTTTTTTGTTGCTTAGAAATGCATAAAAACTTACATTCTTAACTTCTCCACAGATCTGAGCTGTAACTTGGCCCTTGCAAGTTTTATGCCGTATTATGACAAGAAGGTGGCAGACCCTCCAAGAGAAAAATCACATAGTGTACATTTAATTTGTCTTTTATTTAATCAGGAATCTTGTAGAAAGTATAGCATGACCAGTTCCAAAGCCCTGTATGTTCCAACAATGGGAGAGGAGCATATGGATCCTGTGAATGGAGGCGCTCTCCTCCTCTCTCCTTTGTTTACATCTGACCCTTTTGTCCTCTCACTTTCACTAAACACACAATACTACACCCTGCTACTGTTTCACTTAAGTAGGTTCAGTAAAGTTCAGGTTCTCCCTAAGAAGCAGGTTATGTTTACACTTGCAATGTTTGCTTTGGTTATATCGTATGATGGATTACTTGTATGTGACGGTTAAAGAAAAGGTCATATGTTACGCAAAATAGACTCTTGTGAGCTTTAAGCCATGTTATAATGCTGTTTCCTCATCAAAAATACCCAGAGATGTTTGAGTTAATCTACAAATCTCAAAATGCTCTGTTTGACCTCGCAATGTCATAAAGCGATAATTTTCAAGTTAACAACTTCTTTTACCTTTAGTTCAGCAGAGACTGACAAGATATTGTTTTTGTTTCTGTTGTGTTTAAAAACACAGTGGACACAGTACTTTCTGTATTACCACATAACAACATTAAGGTGGAACAGAGCGTTTTCAGTTTGAGAAAAGAACCCCTGAACCTAAATAGGCAGGATTTGTGTGTTAAAACTAGGGATGGGCATTTGATTAAATTTTCTTAATTGATTGTTGGGAGAATTAATGATAGATTTTTGATTAATCATTAATGTTTTTATATTAAAATTATCATCATTATATTGCTATTACTAATCTGCGTAAATCAACTCAACTTTACAACATATAAACCATAAACACTCTAGAGCCACATCAGCACGTTTGAGATTATAATGTGTTTAATGCAGCTTTGACACGTTTGTTTACCTTTTACAGAAACGAAACTTAAAACCACATGGCTCATTTGCATAAACTATAAGCATGATTAAAAACAGCTCTCTCCTTGTGCACTGATGCGGTTCAGTTTCTGTCTGGATGTTGTTGATGGTGAGTCTGTTCTGTGTGTGTGTCGTGTTGAAGATGGTTCATGTTTTCAGAGATCAGACGTGTGCAGGTTTAACGCAGCTCTTTATTTAACAGTTATTTCACTTACTTTTTTTTATGTTTGTCACTTTATTTATTTTGGCTTCTGTTGTGATGAAAAGGCTGAGAAGTGTTTGTCTTTTGGACGCATGCACACTCAACTTTATGTTGCAGTAACCAGGATACGGCGCATACATGCACCATGACAAAACCGGGATACTCAAAAAACCCGATCATACCCGGATGTGCATGTAAACACACTGACTGAGTGGTACAGTGTCTCCAAGGAGCCAGAGCCCAAACGTGGGACTGTGAGGCGCAACTCCAGTGTTTGCACTGTTAGACGCAGCTTCGTCTCCTTACGTTGTGCACAGCAACCTACATTCAGTTTGTCGATTAAAAATGAACGTGATTAACAAAATTCTTAATGATCAATTATCGATTAGTCGACTAATCATGCCCATCTCTAGTTTAAATATGTGTGAATGAAACAAAACACAACTCCAGGTCTGTTTATGATGAAGAAGCAGCATTATAACATAGATCAGAAAATAGCGTAACATGGGCCCTTTAAGTCTTAGTATCAGATAAGTCCTCACAGCCCAAACAGTGAATAGAACTCTGTGCTTGAGATTCCACTTCAGCAGTTTATCCTCAAAAGCCCTTTATATTTCTTCCCCCATTATCCAGAGTGGCTTCTTCTGTCTCTTTTGTACTATGTCTTGTTCTTAGTATTACATCACTGGCTCAGAGAGCGGCGCTTCGCACAATGAGATCAGACAAACACGAGAGCACTTAAGGATATGAGGCTTTTAAGCAAATACTGGCAAGATTCTGTCAAAGACGAAAATCTGACAAATCAGACTCTAAAACCCAGTAGTTTAAATATATACATACATTATTTATACATTTTATGCCTTGTTCTGATTTTTTTTTTTTGTATATTTATTTTCTTGTAATTAAAGTCT